TTTTTGCGTAAGGAATACCTTATGTATAATAATACTTTTTTTTTTAGATTGGCTGACAAACAAGATGAGGAAGAACATAATACCTAGTACATATTATAACCTGATGTGTGATGTGTGAACCTTTTTTTTTAATAAATGTTATTAAGCATATAGGTAGCTGTTTTTTACCTTACCAAGTATGTTCACAGTATATTCTTAGAACATTCCCAATTGTAGTGCATAGTACATGCTACTTGTGGCCAAAAGGTTATGCTAAGCATTTCCCTAGTATATAAAAGCATTATTCCTAGCATATGCTCAGAACATATTCCTAATATCCTTATACGTAAGAAGTTGATTCTGAGCACATGCTAGGTATATTATTTTGCTATGTGGGATATAATAAATATATACCTACCACATTTAATCCACCAAAATATATACTTTATTAATCGATTAAAAATTATTTAAATAACCACTATAGAATCTTTAACACCAAAATCGCTGACGCCGAGGCAATAGGTGGTAGGTTTGTCACGTTTTGCCTTTTATTGTGTATATATTACACAGTTCAACGGGATTTCCCTGCCATGAAAAATTAAAAATTAACAAATTTTGAAAATAAAGGTTAAAAAAATGTACCCGTGTCTTACCGTTTCACGAAATCACGTCATTTAATTTTTTTATAACAGCCATGCTTTTTATTTTAACATAATTCAAGAATTATACTTAAAAAAATAATAATTTTAGTTTTTTTTTAAAAACATTTTTTATTTTAATTTTTGTTTTAATATTTAAAACAACAGATTTGTATTTATCTTATATTCAATACATGTTGGAAAACAATCTTGATATTTTAAAAAACACCTATATTTCGTAAATGTGCAATACCCTGTATAAAGTTTAAATGATTATAAAATGGAGCTTTAATGGTTGTCCATTATTCAGTAATTTTTTTTTAAACTATACAGTCTAGCTGTTATCGAAGCTGTTATATTATGTGCCGAAAACCGTAGATAACAATTTATTGGAAAGCACTAAAAAAAAATTACGTGATCTGAAAAAACGCCGAGACACGGGTATAATTTTTTTAAGACTATTTTCAAAATCTGTAGAAATTTTTTATGGGAGGGAAGAAAATAAAATTTTGTCGTAATGTGTTATTATACAAGGTGTCCCTAAACTTAGTGGCATAAGTTTAGGAGCAGATTAAGCAAGTCAAAATAAGACGAAAATCTAAATAAATATTTTTTCTAATTACGTATGTTTAAAAGATACAGGGTGATAAAGTGTTACTTATATTAGTTTTTTTAATATAAAAAATGATATTTTGCGAACAGTCACTTACTACCAAAACACATATTCACAAATAATTATAATTGTTTGAGTGAACACAGTGTCGTGGAAACGGGGGTTGCTTTAAGCTTATTGTCCATTAAAAAGGTGTACCTCTGAAACTTCGATAAAATAAAAGGTTTCCGAGATATTGGATATTACAATAATTATTATATCGCATTATTTAAAAAGATTAAAAGGTATATGATAACAAATTTTATTTTTTAATTGAAAAAAACTAAAAAGGGCATTCCATGAGCCTCGAGACTTTTTGCCCTGACCGTCACATTAAAAAAATTGTAGTTTTTTCAATTAAAAAATTTGTTATTATATACCTTTTAGCCTTTAATGCGATATAACAATTATTGTAATCTCGAATATCTCGGAAACGGTTTATTTTAAGTTTTAGAGGTACACCCTTTTAATAGTAGCCGAACTGAGTAATCGAAAAATTGCATCAAATAGTGTAAAAACCTAACCTCAAAGTTTGTATGGAACAATAAGCAACCCCTGTTTATACGACACTGTGTTCACTCGAACAATTGACGCGTTTCGCGGAAAAACATCATTAGTCCAAAATTAACATATTTGGGAAAATGAAAAAAACTCTCCGACATTCCCATTTTTGACCAAAGTACTTTATTGACCTATTTACTACATGTAAAAAAATGTAAGATACTACTGTCCAGAATTCCTCATCTTTTTTTTTTCGACGAATATGAAAAAAACACAAAAAATACATGAACATGTGAGGTTTTTAGAAGAAAAAAACGAACGATTCTACTTACTACAAACTAAATATTAACTCTGAGTAACAAAATAAATAAAAACTGAATTACTGCCACACTCAGTCTTCGCATCCACTGCTGTTATCATCGTTGTCGACCGTGTTATCAGGACTGTCAGGTGCTATGGTCTTCTGGTCTTTTATCAAGTTATCATAAAATTTTCTATTGCTGTGGTCATGTAAAAGAGGTAGAAGCTTTTCTAGAGTGTCCAAAAACGTCACATGTTATGCACATGTGACTTTCTTAGACAAAACGGAGTGGACTTGTGATGTTTTTGAAGAACAAGCTAAATTTCATATTTATTTATTATGGAACCTATGACATTTTTACGAGAAACACTTATTTGTATACGTATATATGGAGGTTAGGAAACAGTTGGTGCTAATATCTAAATTTCGACGATATTGGACTAATGATGTTTTTCCGAGAAACGCCTCAATTGTAAGTATGTGTAAATATGTGTTTTGGTAGTAAGTGAAATATCACCTTTTCAAGTCTACCATAGAAGAAGTTATATTAAAAAAACTGATATGATAAGTAACACTTTATCTCCCTGTATCTTTTCAACATACGTAATTAGAAAAAATATTTATTTAGATTTTCGTCTTATTTTGACTTTCTTAATCTGCTTGTATATCAAATTATGAGGTAACGGTGAATTCATATAGGTTGGTTTTAAGGCAAAATAAACTTATGCAAAATCCACTTGTATCGTGGATTGATATGGATATATACCTTAAAATGAGCCTATATCAATTTACCATAACCTCATATTTTGTCGGTTCTGAGGGCAGTGTGGAGTAAAATGGAATTAAAATGCCTTCATGTGAATCCATAGGAATGTTAACTGGGGGTTTTGTGATGTGTAAAAATATTGAGAATGATTTATTTGGGGGTTCAAACCCCAATTGATTAAAAAAAAAATAATAAAACTGATGCTTCCCAGATAGCAAACGTGAATACGAAATCACGCGTGAGTGAATAATGTGTGCTATATGATTTCACACGTGAAGTCTTGAACTCGTAATTCACACGTGAGTAGATTATGAATTCATATTATAGTCTCGTGTGATTTAATCGATTTTATTTTAAAATACATGGATTGCATGATTAAAAACTGCACGTTTAAATATAAATAGAATATTAATATTCTAATATCAAAATATTACCTGACGCGCGAATTTTGGAATTATTATTTTAGTTACATTTTTAAAATTCGCACAGCTCCATTGCGCAATTATATAATATATTAAGTTATAAGTAGTTATAATTATATATTATAATATATTATTATAATTATTATTATAATTATATATTATAATATATTATTATAATTATAAATATTAAAGTAATATATATAATTACATAATATATATTGGTTTAAAAGGTCACAATTATATGTTATAGGTACATTAATAATTAATATATGTATATTAGGGTGTGCCAAAAAAACTCGATATTTTTTTTTCTTGCTCTCTACCCAAAATATCGTAGAATATGTCCAAACAAATATTCTGTTAAAAGCGGAGCTCATAATTTCAATTTTAAGAGGTCCCTCATCGAATCTGAAGATTTGCCGCTTAAATAGCACAGAAAACTGTCTTTTTTACCTTATTTATTCTTGCAACCTAGAAATAAATTTTTTTTTTCATAAAATCCATGACCAAATCTTACAAAGCATTAAATTTGGACGAAAAAATCTTATTAAGCCAAATTTCTATTTTCATTATTTGATTTTTTACAGAGCTTTAAATTTAAAATTTTACGTTTTTTGCCTCAATATTCTAAAAGTTACAGGCGTATAAAGTCATCATTTTTGTATTATTAACTTTAAATTTATAGCTCTGGAAAAAATCAAATAATGAAAATAGAAATTCGGCTTAATAAGATTTTTTTGTCCAAATTTAATGCTTTGTAAGAATTAGTCATGGATTTTATGAAAAAAAAATTCTTCCTAGGTTGCAAGAATAAATAAGGTAAAAAAGTCAGTTTTCTGTGTTATTTAAGCGGCAAAACTTCAGATTCGATGAGGGACCTCTTAAAATTGAAATTATGAGCTCCGCTTTTAACAAAATATTTGTTTGGACATATTCTACGATATTTTGGGTGGAGAGCAAGAAAAAAAAAATATCGAGTTTTTTTGGCACACCCTAATGTATATTATATATTAATTAATTAATTAGTTAACCTTAAGGTTATAATTGTAATGTATAACCTATAATTGAGGAGCAATCAACCAAAACCAGATAAATCCATTTTGACTTCTTGAATGATTCATATTTCTTTTAGTCGGATAAATCAATTGGAAAAGTGAATTTCAAGATAAACTTACTTAACTATACTAATATTAATATTAGTATATAATATAATAATTATTATATAATATTAATATTATGATCATATCATATTATGATAACAAGTTTAGCTTGAAATAGATATTTCCAATGGATTTATCTGAACAAAAGAAATAGAAACCATTCAAAAAGTCGAAATGGATTTATCTGGTTTAGTCTGATTGCTTCTCAATTATGGCCTTTTAAACCAAGTTTTTGTGTATTTTTTTAAGATGTTAAAATAAATATTTCGACAGATTAAATTATTTTGAAAAATGAAATCCAAATTCTAAAAGCGCATGCGCAAAAAATAAAAAGTTCACGCGTGATGGCAAATTGAGCATCAATTGAGGACTCATCTATCGCGTTATATGAATTCACGCGTGAATTTAATTTTCACGCGTGAATTCGTAGTGAATTCATAGTGAATTCATTTTGCTATCTGGGTTTTTTGACCTAGCAATATTTGCAAAACATTCACTAATGTATACACATTTGACTAATAGTGCAAATTAAATAAAAAGTGTTTTAATATATTGCTTTAAATTAAATCTAATGAACATACTTGGAAACCATCTGGTAATGGGTCGTGACGTATGGTTAAATTAATACTATCACCGGGCCTTAGCAATTCCATTACAGCTTCTTGGTGAGTGGCAGAAGTAACATCTGTACCATTCACTTTTAAAATTCTATTACCTACGCGAAGTTTGCCACAGTTTGCCGCAGTTCCTCCTGGCACCATCTAAACAAAAATATTTTTTTACTCCAAATATTTATAAAATAATTTCATGTCTGACAGTGCAACTTCTCGCGGCGACTTTCTCGCCTTTAGGGTGTTCACACGATGCAACCAAATTGACGCTATTTTTTACTAGGATTGCCAACTAAGGCGAAAAGTTGAAAAATTTTTCGTTGTAAGTATTTTGTGGTGTTAAAACCCTATGAGCCTGTTTGGTTTATTTTTACAGGCATGTAAATAAAAAAACGCATAGATTATAAACGCAAATCACAAGATAAAAATCATCTGTCATTCTACAGCTGATAAATATTGAGTACTAACCAAAATATTTAGTGAAAATTCGTTAACCCCTACAAAAGTTACTAAGTCGCTGCCACTTTATTGCATGAAAATAGAACATGTTCTATTTTAGGACAATTTAGATCAGCTGATTAGTTACATCGTGTGAACATCAAAGAATCGGGGCGACCTGGTCGCCGCGAGAAGTTGCACCGTCAGACATAGGCTAAAGGATTTTATCTTACATGTGAAATAAATATGCCTGGTTCGTTGACACCAAATGGAATACTGGAATGATCAATACCACCAATAATACTAAATCCCAAAGAACCTGTTGCTTTATTAAGAATAACATCCTAAAATAAATATAAGTAAAAATTAAGGTGGTCATTTAAAAAATAATGTTCTTATTTGTATTTATATAGCAACAACAATAAAGTGCAGTAATAGCTTAAGCTAATATTAAACGTAAAGTAATAACTATTTTTGTTTTCTTTTTGGTTAAGAAATATTATATTTGACAAACCTCTTTTTTTTACACCTATACTTATTCATAACATTATAATTTAAAGCTTGGTAGTAATTACTAATTACTATTATTAAATTAAACGTTCATGTTATATTACTTAATAGAAGTTAACAAAAACAAAAAGGCATATCAAAATAATATCTTTTAAATAATTGTTATCTTGTGACGTTTTACTGTTATGTGATGAAAACTAGTAATAATTATTATTGTACTTAGTAAAGCAATAAAATTAATTTCATTTTACTGGTTTAGTATTATTTTTATCTGTGCGCAGCTAACGTTAGGGTATTTTTGGCTAGTCCTTTGTTTCTGGTAGGTATTGTTGCCTATCGCAAAATTATTTAATTGTATCCATGGTAATGCCACAGCGGCTAACTTGATTTAGAGTATTTGAAAAGTATGAGATTACCGTATACGCGTATAAGGAATAATACTTTTCAAATCTCTGAAACAAATCATATACAAAATTTATATACACAGCAAACGGAAAAATATAGAATTGTATTGGATGACGCCACGTTTGAATACAGTTTTCTAAATCTCGCCAGGGTATATATACTCTATAGAGTTGTATTCGTCAGTCGAGCGTTTAAATACTCTCCACAGTACCCACACAGTACACTACGTCCATTAAAGGTCCAAACTAAGTACATACGTCCATGGACTTTGAATGTAGGTCCATGGAGTTTACGCTTTCCCATGTCCTTAGGATGTTCCAGAAGAACGTCCGTAGGATATCCATGGATGGACACAAGACAAGAAACAATAAGATGGATGTTTAAAGTCTAATTTAGGACTCCTGCGGTCGATAACGGCTACCATACTAAATAGTTACATTTTACAAAAATAGCAAACAAAACAATTTTTACAATTAACTACACTTAAAAAATAACAAATGTTTTATTTGTTGTTAATTGTTAAAATTGTTTTGACATTTTGGTTAAATTAATTTACTATATATATATATATATATATATATATATATATATATATATATATATATATATATATATATATATATTATAACTATAATTTTATTTATAGAAACACCTCAGAAATACCAAGTTACGAATTAAACTTTATTAATAGGTTTGGTCTATATAAAAAAACTCCGGTCAGCAAAATATCTAATAAAAAAAAGTCAGTCATGATTCAAATTGTATTATTAAAGGCAATGTCATTGAATTATTTCAAAATGTTAAACACCAATATTTTTATACTTGAATTAGGTATTTGTTTAGTGTTACCCAGATAGCATCTGTGATTTTGTTTTCCCTCTGTGATTTCACACTGAAGTCAGTATAAGGTCAGATGTGATTTTCAGTCATTCAAAATCATGTATGATTTAATACTGAAGTCGGTATGAGATCACGCATGATTTTCAATATAAATTCTAAGTTCCAAATCATGCCTGATTTCATACTGGGGTGAGTATGAGATCAGGCATGATTTTCAGTTAAGGGTACCTATTCCATAAGTTCCAAGCTTACAAGCTAATTTTATTTAAGCTTATAAGCTATAGCTTATATATAGTTCTCGTTTAGATGTAATGTAATGTAATCTATAGGGTATAGTTGTTTATTTGTGCTTGTCCCATTGTGTATCGTCGAGGGGACTTTAGGCCAGCGCGCTGGTAAGGGGTATTAATGGACCGCTGCAGCGGTCCGTTAATACCCCTTACCCGCACAAGCTATAGCTTGTGCGGGTAAGGGGTAGGAACGGACTTCCGGCTTAAAGTCCCCTACGAAGGACTATACACAATGGGACAAATACAAATAAACAACCATGGTTATGGGTATGCATACCCACGTGAGCAGTAGCGTAACTAGGGGGGGGGCGGGGGGTGCGGTCCGCCCCGGGCGGCACTTCTTGGGGCGGCAAAAATCGTGAGAGAAAATGCGAAAAAAACTGGAAGACAGAATATAAAAATAAAAAAAATATTTGATAATTAAATATTCTCTTTCGAAATAATATAATTCAAATTCCAATAGATTTGAGATTTATACAATTACTCCCAAAATATTCCAAATCAAATAAAGCTAGCAAAAAATAGAAACAAGACCGGTATTGTACCTTTGATGAGTAATCAGTCTACCGCCGACTAGTTACCAATAATTTTGCGTACGGTCCTCAAAACTGACTCCTAACCTAACCTCTCTTCCCCCCCCAAAAAAAACATGAGGGCAACAGCCACTGCTGCCCCGGGCGGCACTTTTTCTAGTTACGCCGCTGCACGTGAGTTTTGATCGGGCGCGAATATTAGTTCAAAATCATGTTTGTTCTCATACTGGGGTCTGTTACAATCATACGTGATCTCATACAGTATGAGATCACGTATGATTTTCAATATGATTCTAAGTTCCAAAGCACGCCTGATTTCATACTGAGGTCAGTATGAGATCACATATGATTTTCAGTATAATTCTAAGTTTCAAAGCATGCCTGATTTCATACTGGAGTCTGTATGATATCACATATGATTTTCAGTATAATTAATTCTAAGTTTCAAAGCACGCCTGATTTTAAACTGGAGTCTGTATGAGATCACATATGATTTTCAGTATAATTTTAAGTTCTAACTCAACCATAGAGGAATGGCGCCAGGTAAATTGCGCCAGATTTAAGAAATCTTTTTTTTTGTACTTACCTAAATTTTTAATAAAAAAAATTTGGTATTTTATTTTAATTTTTTTATAGCAATTTAAGATTTCCTCCTTCACTGGAATTTTTTTTCAGGAAACAAATGGTTTTATTGCAATAAAATTTAAAAATTAATGTATTTATTTTTAAATTTTATTGGGTATAATTAATTATAATTATTAACTTTTCAGCAATCAAATTTTATTGACGTATTAATTGCCGTTGGTCTTTACTGTTCCCGTTCAAAAGTTAAACTTGTGATCGTCTACCATATCATTTATACTTTAACGTACGTCAAACTATAAATGACATGGTAGACGATGTTTAACTTCGATTATTGATTATTTAAAATAATCGTTTTTTTCTATTAATCGATTATTTGATTAATCGATTTTACCTGTTCATTTTACAAAATCACATATGATTTTATTCTGACAACAGTATGATTTCATTCTGACAACAGTATGATTTCAAAGCCAACGTCAGCGGGACCAAAAATCTCGACTGATTTTACTTATTCTTTAAAGTTTTCTTTCTACCGGTTTCTACCGGTCTCTTTACAAAATCACATCTAATTTCATTCTGACATCAGTATGATTTCAAAGCCAACGTCAGCAGTAACAAAATTCACATCTGATTTCAGTCTGACTTCATATTGCTGACATTCGCGTATGCGCTACTGACGTCAGATTCTCGACAGACGTGACGAACGATTTTCACGTCTGATTTTATTCTGACGTCAATATGAAATCATAAATGCTAGCTGGGTAAATATAAAATAAAACTTAATTAATTCACTATATATATAATACCAATATATCAGTTATATATAAAGATGGGATGTTTAAAAAGGTACTAAAAAAAGCATTTTAGGTTAAAAAAACAGCCCCATTGAGCAAAAAGTGTTTTATTTTTATCGTAACATAAATTTGCCCATTTTAGTTGGGTTTTTTGCTCAATGGGGCGGGGGGGGGCCCAATGGGGCGGGGTCGGTTGGGTTGTGTTGTTGAGTTTGAGTACATTTCTATAAAACGCGCATCTCTAGGAGCCAGGGAGCCAAGATAATTCGGTGCCTCTAGACGCTAGTTAATCTGCCTCTGTACATAACCGTAACTTTATCTACAGAGGTGCCTCTGTACGTATACACTTCGTTTTATTTTGAATAAAAAGGACCATAAAAAAAATAATATAACGTATTGTTGCAAACCTTAAATTGAAGGACGATAATTCGAAACAATGAATTAAAAACTTTATAAGAGGGTTCAGCATGGGCTCCGTGAACTCTGATACATTACCCACAATAACCCAGCATGGTTTCTTATCATATCACAATGAAATGTGATTATCTGTAGAAGTTTCTCCTTAGATCTCAACATCAGTTCCAACCAATTAATATGTGGGCAGGAATCATTGGCAATATTTTGATTGGACCAATTGTATTTCCGGCACGATTGAATGGACAACTTTATTTGGAGTTTCTCCAGAACGCTTTTTGGGATTTAATAGAGCCCTTACCACTTAAAACCCGCCTAAACATTTACTTCTTGCACGATCGGGCATCACCTCATTTCAGCGTTGCTGTGCGGTAGCACTTGAATAACGTTTATCCAAACCGTTGGATAGGTAGACTGGCCTCCTCGATCTCCTGACCTGATGGATTTTTTCCTGTGGGGACACCAAAAAACTTGGTGTATTCCACTCCGATCGATACTAGGGAGGAACTTCTACAGATAATCATGTTTCATTGTGATATGATAAGAAACAATGCTGGGATATTGTGGCGGGTACAGCAGTTCTCAATTCGTCGTGCCCGCGAATGTTCACGGAGCCCCTGTTGAACCCTCTTATAAAGTTTTTAATTCATTGTTTCGACATATCTTCCTTCAATTTAAGGTTTGCAACAATACGTTATATTATTTTTTATGGTCCTTTTTATTAAAAATAAAACATGAATTAGTTCATTATTCTTTTTCTCGAAAACGGTTAATTTTATTGACAATAAACAAGAGTACCTTTATTTTAGTTTAAGGTTCATGCTACCCAAATTTAGTTTTTTTAAGTCTTTATCATACGGGGTGTTCAAAATTTAAGCATTAAGGTGTAATACTTAGTCCGCCCCTGGTAAAAAAAAAGCAAAACATGTTTAAAGGACACTATTTTAAGAGATCCTTACCAGGGTCCAACATA